CCCCACTGAGCCCCTCACCTGCTCCCGGTGCCTTGGCTAGCCCCCCGATGGAAGTCCCCACTGTGGCCACACATGTCCCTGGGCTACATGTGTGAGGGCTAGCGGGAGGGGGAAAGTGCTCATGCTCAGGCCGGCCCTGGGGCCGCCTGACTTTTGCTGCAAGGATGGTACACTCCCCAGTCACTCTCCTGGTTCCGTCCAGGAGATATCCCACGCGATGGGGTTCTGAGAGCCCAGACCACGTCTGCCATATGTGCTCCCAGGCACTGTGTGGGGATTCATCTCGCTCCCTGTCAAACACCATTGATTAGCCTAAAGCCTCACAGCAGATGGCAGCTGTGCGGGGCTGCAGGGAGTTCCACAGGTTAACACAACACAAGTGCCCTCCCATCCTCCATGGGGCCAGGACACAGACTGATGGTTACAATACACGGAGGAGGACCCTACTCCAGGGGCGGTCCTGTATGCAAACATACAATACAGGGGGGAGGAGGAGGAGGGCATGAGGTGTGGGGACAGTGGCCGGGCTGCCTGACTGATCCATCCTTTCTTCTCTTCTCTGCAGTGGGACCAAGCACAAGCCAGGGACCCTCAAGTCCTGCAGCAGCAGTGGCAGCAGCAGCACCCCCAGCTGCCCAACCACCGAGGCAGTGGCTCCACCACCGGGACCAGCTTCTTCGGCGCCACATGCAGGCCGTCGAGCGCGTTGAGGCAGTCATTACTCAGCACATGGAGGCAGACCTGCAGCGGTGCCAGGAGGCCTGGGGCTCGTTCCAGGCCCAGAGCGTCCACGCAACTCTCACCGCCCACATTGGCCATGGCATCCATTATGGCATGGCCTTGCCCCATGCCCCCACCATCCCTCCCCTAGCACTGCCCCTGTCCCTTTCTGCAATGGCCCCTCCTGCTCTTGCCCCTGTTCCTGTCTCTTCTGCTCCTGCCCCTGTCCCTCCTGCTCCTGCCCCTCCTGCCCCTGTCCCTCTTGCTCCTGCCCCTCCTGCACACCTCCCCGTGCAGCCTGCCCTGACGCGGCCTGCCTCCCATGTGCAGGTTGCCCCCACAGGAGCGGTCACAGGGGCCACTCCTCCCAGGAGTAGCTCCGCCCTCTCCCAGTTGAAGGTCTCCTCCCCCTCCCATCCTAGATCTCCCCTCTCCTCATTGTAAATAAAACAAAGACAAGTTTTTGTGTTCAAGAAAAACTGTGTTTGGTGTTTATTGGGAAGTAAGGGGAGGGGAGGAGGTAGGGAAGGGGATGGGAGGGAGTTGTAAAGGGAGACTGAGGTGACCCTACTATGGGGCCTGGGAGAACATGTCCATCAGGGCCTCCCAAATGTGCCCCTCATCCTGTTGTGCCTGGCGGATGGCAGCTGTGCGGGGCTGTTCATAGGCCTGGCCCTCGGCTGCCATCCATGCGGGGAGGAAGGCCTCCCCACTCCGCTCCACAACATTGTGGAGCACGCAGCCACTACCTCTGTGACATTCCGCTCACCCATCTCGAGAAGGGTGAGCAAACAACGGAAGCGGGCTTTCAAGCGGCCGAAGGCGCACTCCACTTGATTGCAGGCCCGGTTGAGGCGGTTGTTGAACCGGGCCCAGTTCTGGTCCAGCTGCTCCATGTAGGGCCGCATTAGCCAGGGCAGCAGGGGGTAGGCCGCGTCCCCGATGACACAGATGGGCATAGGCACATCCCCGACAGTAAACTCCCACCGGGGGAAGTAGATGCCCGCCTCCAGCCTGCAAAACAGGCCGGAGTTGCGTAGTATGCAGGAGTCATGTGGCCTGCCGGACCAGCCTGCATAAACGTCCAGGCGGATGACTCTAGGGAGCAGGATGTCATTGATGGCATGGACGACCTGCAGAAGGGTGCAGAGAAACACAGGGGAACACATCACATAAGGCAGGGTGAGTGTGCGCTCCCTTGGGCCTCCCCCCCGTGATGCCCTCTGTGCTTACCCACACACACACACCAGGGTCCCCTCACCCCATACTCCCCCCCCACCAGCAGGCCTGTGCAAGGGAGGGATGGCCCAAACCCTTGGGTGACCCAGCCTGGAGTCTTGGCTGCCCCTGGGCATGGAGTGCAGCACCCTCCCTCCACCCCGAACTGGTGTGCCACCGATCGGTAGCTGTCCGGGGGGGACAGCTTCCAGACTGTGATGGTGACCCTCTTGTTGACGGGGATGGGTGCCCGCAGCCGGGTGGTGGTTCTCTGGAGCGCAGGGGCGAGCCAGGCACATAGCTCGAGTAACGTCTGCTTTCCATGCGAAAGTTCTGGAGCCATTGCTGGTCATCCCATTGCCCCAGGACCAGCCAGTCCCACCAGTCCATACTGGTGTCCAGTCTCCACATTGGCCTCTCCACCCTGGGGTGGGAATGCCACAGGGATGCCATGGCCTCCCTGGTGAGGGAGTCTAGAGTGATCTGTGCCTCGAGGTCCTGGAACAGGAGTGCAGCAGCCTAGAGCACCAGCTGCAGGCACTCCAAAATGGCCGGAAGGGGCCAGAGCAGGCACCTGCCCACCCCTGGCTCCATGGCACAAAAAACAAGGCAGATGAAAAAAAAAAACAGGCAAAGGCACTAAGTGGCAAAAGGCAGTGGTGTCCAAAAATGCAGAGGGTGTGACGGCGCATTGGGGTTTTCCCGTCTCCTGCACCCCCGTAGTGGCACAGTCAGACTCCACCACGTCAGTAGAATAGAGAGAGTTTATTGCTTCTCCAGGATACAGCACAGCACAGATGTAATCTGGTTACAGGGCAGGCCTAGGATGCCTCAGCCCCCCTTGAGATGGGGGAGCCTGGGCCCCTAAATCCCAGCCTGTTGCCTAGGCTGCTTCCTCCATGATACCAGCTAGAAACCTAACTAACTCACTTCCAGCCCTGCCCCCAGCCAGTGCTCCACTCCCCTTCTTCCCATTGTTCCGCTCCCTGGGAGATAACTGGTCAGACAGGTTCTTAGCCCCCTTGCATAATGACTCTTCCCCTGCCCTGCTGGGCCATGCTGCAGGCAGCAGCCAGTGGAGGTCACTCACAACCCAAGCCTAGCAACCAGCAAGGTACCCACACCACGTCACAGAGGGCAACCACCAAAACAGCTACGGCTGTCAGTCCCTGCAAGAGATCCTGTAGCACGCAGCAGGAGAGAAATGGCTGTCCGGGGAGATCCCTTTAAGCACATGTCTCAAAGGAGCTCCAGCCCCCGCCCCTGCCCCCAGAAAGGGCTGGGGCCCTTTTGACCTCTTCAAAATGGTTCCGGGCTTCTGCTTCTGCGCAAAAGTGCATCGTTATAATGATAACTATGGGACCAATCTGGACGTGCTTTTGTGGAAATATTTTTAATTGAAAAGTTTTTCCGTTAAAAGTATTTCCGCAAAATCATGCCAGTCTAGACGTAGCCCTACAGAATGGGAAGGGATTGTCTAGGAAGGAGTACTGCTGAAAGGGATTTAGGGGTCACAGTAAACCACAAGTTAAACATGGGTCAATGGCATGACACTGTTGCAAAAAAAGCAAATATGATTCTGGGATGCCTTATCAGGAGTGTTGTGAGCAAGACACGAGAAGTCATTATTCCACTCTAGTCTTCACAGATTAGGTCTCAATTGGAGTATTGTGTCCAGTTCTAGGCAACACATTTCAAGAAAGATGTGGAGAAATTGGAGAAGATCCAGAGAAGAGCAACAAAAATGATTGAAGGTCTAGAAAACATGAGCTACGATGGAAGACTGAAAGAATTGGACTTGTTTAGTTTAGAAAAGAGGGGACATGATAGCAGTTTTCAAGTATCTAAAAGGGTGTTACAAGGAGAAAGGAGAAAAATTGTTCTTTTTGGCCTCTGAGGATAAGACAAATTGCAGTAAGGGAGGTTTAGATTGGACATAAGGAAAAACTCCCTAATTGTCAGGGTGATTAAACACTGGGATAAATTGCCTGAGGGGGTTGTAGAGTCTCCATCACTGGAGATATATAAGAGCAGGTTAGACAGACACCTGTCGAAGATGATGCTTGGTTCTGCTGTAAGGGCTCGATGACCTCTCGGGGTCCCTTCCAGTTCTAGGATTCTAGGATTCAGCTGACCCAACTACTTTTCCCTTTTTCATTTTCCTAAGTGCCTCTGCAACCTCCTCCTGCTGCATGCAATTTGTTGTGCCCTCATTCAATTTATATGCACTTAATTGCTCCCCGTAGTTTGCCTAATTTGTCACTCTTTCAAAACAATCACTCCAAATGTTGGTGATTGAGTGTCCATTTGTTTGTAATACACCATATTCGTTTCTAAAATGAGCAAACTCATTCACATCCCTCATTATTATCTCTCTTGCCTTGGTAAGTCTATAAACGGTTTTCCCCCTCGTGTCCTTCTAGTTAGTTATAGCTCATCACAGGCCATATTTCTATCTGTGGCAACACTTCTTTTGATCTCTATTTTTGCCTTCTTCACACAGCTCAAGCCACTGTCCTGCTATTTTTTAAAGCTTCTTTTCCCCTCTCTCAATAGATTCTCTAATTAGAGGATTCCACCATCAAGTCTCCTTTCTTATATTTTTCAGCACTGATTTCATCATTCCTACGTCTTCATGCACTATTTCTAGCAAAGTTGACATCACTTTGAATCAGTTCTCTACACATTCTTGAGAGTGTAGTTAGGAAGTCTATGCTTTACTGCTTGTTTGAAAACTGGTTTCACCCTATGACATTTTTAGGGATTTTCCATTAGATGGATGCCATAGGGGGAGAGTTAAGGTTATTGGATGGTGATCAGTAACAATTCTTTTCATTTTTGCATTTGCATGAAATTGACTAGTGGGTTGGTGGATTGGTGTCAGAAATGTGTGCATTCTCTTAACTTGAGAATTACTGTTTGTTTTTAGATAGATGGATAGATTCTCACATCAAGGGTCATGACCTCCTGGGGGGGGGTCTCAAGGAAGTTACATGGAGAGTTGTGAGCTCTTGGCTCCTGGGGCTGATAACCGCAAGCCCTTGTTTAATTGTATTACCCAGAGGCTTGCTGTGTTGCCAATTGTATTACCCAGAGGGTCGCCAATACAAAGAGTTTGGAAACCAGACAGACAGATGGACAGACAGAGCACTGTTTCAATATGGCACATGGAGGATCCATCTGAGCACTCAGGATATCTCAGCACTTCTGCACCATTCTCAGACAATCAAAGCCTGCACTAAGGTATTCAGCTATTTCCTTCCCACAGGCTCAAGAACCAGCACAGCATGCTCCACACTCCCCTCCCTCTCCTGAGGTGAGAGGATGAGCATTGATTAGAGCAGCCCCTCAGAACTGTAACAGCTCTGCTGATCGCCTTGCTCTACTGGCACCAAAGAGAAGTGATAGGCTGGCAGGAGCAGCTTTGTTAGAAGGGGCAGAACTCCCGCTGACCTCAATTTTTCAGCTCCAATATTCAATTATTTCCGCTAGCAAAGAATCTTTATTATTTAATATTGGCTGATGGACTAAAAATTATTAATTGGTGTAGATGACGGGGGCTGTGTTGTGTGGAGGGCAGGGATCCAATTTATACTGGGGCGATGCGCTCACAGTCTCAGAATAACCGAGAAGGAGAAGAGGTAGACAGTTCTCTTGTCAAGCTCCCAGTTCCTGTCTAGTCCAATATAATGTTATGACTCTCCTGGGATGGAGATGCTATTTTCCTTTGTGGCAGAGCTATGGCTGTGCCCGGGGGTCCTGAGCTTCCGGCAGACAGTGTTCAGCCTCAGAGGCTCGCTGGGTCCTACCACACGACCTCTTTCTTTACTAAAGGCAGGGGTAACAGGCTACTGAGCCATGCTCATCACAGGCTAGTCCATAATATGGGGGTAAAACCCCTCTATAGACCTGGCTCCCTATCCAAGGATAGACCCTGTAATAATGTAGAGGGTTGGGGGAATCTGGGTGTACCCATTACTCTGGGTTCTGGCCGAGGGCTCCTAAGGAAGAAGCAACAGATGGGGTTTGTTCCACTTCCCATCTGGCAGCTGCTTCCCTGGGCCACTTCCCCAAACAATCCCTCCCAGCACCTTTCCTCAGGTACCCGAGCATCTTAGCCTGCTCCTCCAAAGCACTCTGTCTGACATACAGCTTAGCTTCCAGCTGTCCCCCAGACTCCATTCACTCTCAGTACTTCGGCTCCCTTCTTCCTCCTCATGCCTCTGAATTAACAGAAGAGGACCCCTCTTAAACTAGCCTCAACTGGTTCTTGATTAGCCCCCGGTGGTCTAATTGGCTTGACTCCTTTGGCTCTGGAAGGCTCCTAATTAGCTCCAGGTGTTTCTAACTGGCTTTATTGTCCACACTACTTCTGGAAAGTTCCTGCTGGTTCTAGCCCCTGTGGGTATGTCTACACTTGCACCCTAGTTCAAACTAGGGATGCAAATGTAGGCATTCCAAATAGTCAATGAAGCGGGGATTTAAATATCCCGCACTTCATTAGCATGATCTCACTGGTGCGTTACTCCGATCAATAGCTGTTTTTTGAACCCTGTTAAAGTTCTAGCTTTCACTGCATGCTCTCACAAGGAGTTCCACAGGTTGACTGTGCTGAGTGAAGAAAAACCTTCCTTTTGTTTGTTTTAAACCTGCTGCCTATTAATTTCATCTGGTGACCCCTAATTCTTATATTGTGGGAATAACTAAATAATTTTTCCTTATTCACTTTTTCCATGCCAGTCATGATTTTATAGACCTCTATCACATCCTTAGGCTACGTCTAAACTACACCCCTCTGTTGTCACTCCTCATTTTTTGAGGAATACAGGATCTTTAGGGTTTATTTTCAAAAGATCACTGTCTGAGTGCTTTTTTTTTTCCGAAAAAGCCTCATTTCGAAAAAAAGCGGCGCCTGCCATTATGCAAATGAAGCACAGGATATCTTAATCCCCACTTCATTTGCGCTTTCAATACATCTAATTTACATCCCTCTGCCGACAGAGGGGTATAGTTTAGACATAGCCTAAGTCTCCTCTTTTCTAAGCTGAGAAGTCCAAATCTTTTTAATCTCTCTTCATATGGGACCCATCCTGTTCGCGAACAGGAACAGCTAACAGGAGAGTTTGGAGAGGGAGTTCTCCAGGTAAAAGAGGAGTAAAAACGGGACCCTTGTGGAGCTTCTAAAAGGTTTGAAACCTAGAAGCCTCTGTTAATTGGCTGAGCCTCAGTCAGGGGGAGGGGCTACCAGAGCTATATAAGCCGGTTAATCTCTCTTCATATGGGACCCATCCTGTTCGCGAACAGGAACAGCTAACAGGAGAGTTTGGAGAGGGAGTTCTCCAGGTAAAAGAGGAGTAAAAACGGGACCCTTGTGGAGCTTCTAAAAGGTTTGAAACCTAGAAGCCTCTGTTAATTGGCTGAGCCTCAGTCAGGGGGAGGGGCTACCAGAGCTATATAAGCCGGTGACTCAGCAACCAGGAACAGCTAACAGGAGAGTTCTCCAGGTAAAAGAGGAGTAAAAACAGGACCCTTGTGGTAAGTGGCTGTGGGGGGAGTTATTTGCTGTGTGCTGAGCTTGTGTTTGTCTGGTTAGTTGGTTGGTGTTTGTTTGATTGTTTATTTGTTTGTTTGAAGGAGCTTCTAAAAGCTTTGACGCTCAACCAATTAACAGAGGCTTCTAGGTTTCAGTCAGGGGGAGGGGCTACCAGAGCTATATAAGCCGGTGACTCAGCGACCAAGAACAGCTAACAGGAGAGTTTGGTGAGGGAGTTTAGAGGGGGAGGTTAGAGGGCTCTACTGACTTCTGACCTTTTTTAAAACATAACTCTTAAAATAATCTATATTCCAGAAGTTTAAAAAGAATCCCAGTTTACACAAACTTATTCATTAGAAAAATGGAGACAGAAGCCCAGCAGAAGAGTGGGGGCTATCCTGTTTATTGTGTTGAGTGTAACATGTATGATTACCTGCCCTGTGGGCTGGTGGCGTATGTGTGCACTCGTTGCAAGGAGCTCCTGACCCTCAGAGACCAAGTTTGGGCTTTGGAGGCCAGGGTGGCTGAACTGGAGGAGCTAAGGGAGGTAGAGAGCTATGTTGCTGAGACTTTCCGGGACACTGTAGTACTGTCCCACCTCCAGTCTGAGAGCCCCAGTGCTCTTAAGGAGAATGAAAGTCTCAAGGGAACAGAGCATTCAATGGGAGCAGAGGGAAACCATCCCGTAGTTGGGCCCCTCCTCCCAGAGGATGTTGCAGTATCCTCTCACACAGAGGATACCTCTGAGGGTAAACAACCGCATTCAAAGGAATCCAATGAATCAGGGAAGGGCAGTGGCAAATTTTTAAAGTGCTTGTACACAAATGCTAGGAGTCTGACTAATAAGATGGGTGAACTGGAGTACCTCGTATTAAATGAGGAGATTGACATAATAGGCATCACTGAAACCTGGTGGAATGAGGAAAATCTGTGGGACACAATCATACAAAATATATCAAAAGGATAGAGCAGGCCGGGTGGGTGGCGGAGTGGCACTGTATGTGAAAGATAATGTAGAATCAAATGAAATAAAAATATTAAATGAATCAACTTGTTCCATAGAATCATTATGGATAGTAATTCCATGCTTCAATAATAAGAAATTAGCAGTAGGGATATTACCGACCAACTGACCAGGACAGCGATACTGACATTGAAATGCTGAGGGAGATTAGAGAGGCTACCAAAATAGAGAACTCTATAATAATGGGGGATTTTAATTACCCCCATATTGACTGGATACATGTCACCTCAGGAAAAGAAGCGGAGATAAAATTTCTCAATGGCTTTTTAATTACCCCCATATTGACTGGATACATGTCACCTCAGGAAGAGAAGCAGAGATAAAATTTCTCAATGGCTTAAATGACTGCTTCTTGGAGCAGCTGGTGCAGGAACCCACAAGGGGAGAGGCAATCCTCGATTTAGTCCTGAGTGGAGTGCAGGATCAGGTCCAGGAAATAACCATTACAGGACCGCTTGGGAATAGTGACCATAATATAATAACATTTAACATTCCTGTGGTTGGAAGAACACCTCAGCAGTCCAGCACCCTGGCATTTAATTTCAAAAAGGGGAATTACACAAAAATGAGGAGGTTAATTAAACAGAAATTAAAAGGCACAGTGACTAGAGCCAAATCCCTGAAAGCTGCATGGAAACTTTTTAAAGACACCATAATAGAGGCCCAACTTAAATGTATACCCCAAATTAAAAAACATAGCAAGAGACCTAAAAAAGAGTCACCGTGGCTTAACCACCATGTAAAAGAAGCAGTGAGGGACAAAAAGGTATCTTTTAAGAAGTGGAAGTCCAATCCTAGTGAGATAAATAGAAAAGAACATAAACACTGTCAAATCAAGTGTAAAAATGTAATAAGAAAAGCAAAAAAAATTGTGAGGAACAGCTAGCCAAAAACTCAAAAAGAAATAACAAAATGTTTTTAAGTACATTAGAAGCAGGAAGCCTGCTAAAAAACC